TCCTTTCCAGCCACCATGAAAGACATGACATTTGATCAGGCAATCTAAACAGCCCAAAGCAGAACTTTTTAACGCACAGATTGTACCTTTAGGAATTTATTCTCTGGCGTCTGCCTCTTTTTTGGGTCTTTTTTTTTTCTCTTCAAATCCTCTCATGATGTCGTTCCAGTAATAGCCACACACACATTCCATATCTCATCTCCTGTGTCCTCCTGCCCTAGTTTACTGGAGAAGAGTACTTGCTGGTCCACTGAAGTCCCCAAACCTTCTGTATGACAGCACTCAAATGCACTGAAATTATATGCCAACATCTGCTTGATTTAATACAATGATGGATTTGTTTTATTTACAATGAATGATGAGTTTAATAGATCTTAAATGTTGAATAGTCTTTATAGAGGATTTAATGCTTGAGTGTGATGAATTTGGTTCCCTTGGTTTCTTAATACTCTGCTGCCCCCTTGTGGAGGATGCTTGTTTGCAAAGTGTCGTCGTTTTCTGATTCAATGCTCCACACAAAACAATGTTTTTCTTTTCTTGTTCAACTTTTTCTCTCTGTGTTCTTGAGTGATATGGATAGTTACTGCATATATTATTTAAACTGTTTTTATTATTTATTTTCATGAAGACCCTATGTATGTAGCAGGTTGTGAAATACATGGTGTGAACTAAACTATGAATCTGTTGCCCCCTGGTGATGAAACAGGTTAAAGTCAGGTAAGATTGTGCAATATGTGCAATGTCCAATGGTTTAACCCACGTGTGTTAAGTTCCAGTCCTTGTGGGCCAAAACACTGCAGACTTAAGCATCCTTTCTCATTAAATACACCTGATTGAGCATATTGGCTAATTAGCAAGGCCTTCATGAACTGAATTCAAAGTATAGATGACGGTAATATCTGCAGCGCTTTGGCCCAGAAGGTCCCCAGTTTGACATGCCTGGTTAACCAGTTATAAAATCTGTCTGAAAGTCTGAAAATGATGTCTTGTAAATTGGTTCTGTTTAGGCTGGACTAAACAGTGAAATCACATTTACCTTTTTGGATTTCTGACCTGTTTTATTAATTTATGATGCAGAAATGGCTGATCAGGTATGTGGGCTGTTCTAGAATGGGAATGAAATGAGCTGAGAGCCCCCCCCCCAATCACATAAACAAACCCCAAAGTCATTTCCAGTGCTTTAAGTCAACGTAAATTGGAAATCATGACTAATTTTCCTTCCGAACCATAATGTGTTTCTGAATTAAACATGGATTCAGGCAGCGTCTCTGAGCTACACACTATGGACAAAAGTATTGGGAAACCTACACATTACACCTACAGGAGCTTTTATGACATCCCATTCTAAATCCATAGGCATTAATATGGAATTGGTGTCCCCTTTGTAATTATAACAGCTTCCACACTTCTGGGAAGCTTTCTACAAGATTTTTGGGCGTGTCTGTGGAATTTTTGTCCATTCATCCAGAAGAGCATTTGTGAAGTCAAACACTGATGTTGGACTGGCTCACAATCTCCGTTCTAGTTCATCCCAAATGTGTTTGGTGGGGTTGAGGTCAAGGCTCTGTGCGGTCCAGTCAAGTTCTTCCATTAGAAACTCACCCAGCCATCCCTTTATGGACCTTGCTTTGTGCACTGGGGCACAGCCATGGTGGAACAGAAAAGGTTCTTCCCCAAACTGTTCCCACAAAGTTGGAAGCATAGAATTGTCCAAAATGTCTTGGTATACTGAAGCATTAAGATTTCCCTTCACTGGAACTAAGGGATCTAGACCAACCCCTGAAAAACAACCCCATAACATTCTCCCCCCTCCACCAAACTTTACAGCTGGCACAATGCAGTCAGGCAGGTAACGTTTCGCCAAACCCAGACTCGTCCATCAGACTGCCAGATAGAGAAGTGTGATTCATCACTCCACAGAATACATTTACGCTCCTCCAGAGCCCAGTGGTGGCATGCTTTACACCACTCCCTCCGGCACTTGCCATGGAAACCCATGTCACAAAGCTCCCGGTGCACCGTTTTTGTGCTGACGTTAGTGCCAGAGCAGGTTTGAAACTCTGCAGTTATTGATCATCAGAGTGTTGGCGTCTTTTGTGCACTATGTGCCTCGGGACTCGCCCACCCGCTCTGTAACTTTACATGGTCTGACCCTTCGTGGCTGAGTTGCTGTGGTTCGTACATGCTTCCACTTCTCAATATTACCACTCACAGTTGATTGTGGAACATCTAGGAGGGAAGAAATTTCACAAATTGACTTCTTGCAATGGTGGCATCCTATTACAGGAGCACACTCAAATTCAGTGAGCTCTTTAGAGCGACCCATTCTTGCACAAATGTTTGTACACAGACTGCATGGCTAGGTGCTTGATTTCGTACACCTGTGGCAATGGGACTAAATGAAACACTGAATTCAATGATTAAGAGGTGTGTCCCAATACTTCCGTCCATATTCTGTAGTTGAGCGATTGCACTCAGTGACAGAAGATGTTTTAGAGGCAGGCAAATGGTTAATCAAAAGTTATGTGAAAACAAGATGACTTAACAAGGTAAAAAAAAGGTAAGTTTTGATTTTAGGTTGACTTTAATGATGCATACGGTATTCAAAAACAGGGATTCATTGTACATTAGTTCCACTCAAAATGCTAGAGGACAGTAGTGTCAGTACCATGGACAGCAGCACCCATGTCAAAATAAATTACATCCTAAGGCTTATTATTCAGTAACTGCATGGAAAGCAATACAAACAGGCTGATATATGGAATGGCAGCCTGGAGCCATCCGTAGATGCTGGCCATTTAAAGGAGAATTGCACTGATTTTTCAAAATTTCTTTTTATATGCATATGTATATATGTATGTATATATCGCTGCTATCAGGACAAAACCTAGTATCTCCATTTTTGTTGTTTTTCTGACATAGTTTGAAAGTGCCTGTTGCCCTTTACATTGTGTGTAAATTTTATGATGACTGGACTAAAAGAAATGGCCAACAGTGACTTGGAAAAAGTCTGGTTCCATTGACTTACATTAAAAGTAAAGAAGTTTTTTTCTTTCTCCTGTAAAGTTCTCATTTTGGAGATACGAGGTTTTGGTCCGACAGCAGCGATATGTTGTTAATGGTAAAATAGTGGTAAATCTGGAAAAATACACGGTCTTTTGAGGACTATTATGAATATGGGCATATTACCACCCTGCATATTCCTATCCACCATGAATAGCTTTAGGTGATCTCATTAGGAAACATGATATCAGTTTTAATAGCTATGCTGATGACACACAATCACATATTTCTATTCCTTCTGAAAATCGAAACTCAGGCTTACCAACTGTGTGTCAGATATTTCTTAGTGGATGTCACAAAATGTGCTACAGCTTAATCAAGAAAAAATGGAAATATTGATCCTTCGTGCTAAAACACAGAGAAAGCTGCTTTGTGAAAAGCTTGGGTCTTTTGCTTCGTATATAAAACCTGAAGTGTGAAACCTGCTCTGTTAGAAAGAAAGGTTCTGTGCAGGTTCAATTTTTGTTCATCAAGGTACAGACAATGTAAATGTACCCTTAAAGGTACAACAATGGTTTTAAGGTCCAATTGTGTACCTCAAAGAAGTTTTTTCAGTGAAAAGTACAGATTTGCACCTAATGTTTTAAAACAGAGCAATAAAATAAATAGCCTGGGGACGAGACGGGGTGTGTGGAGTCAATACAACTTATATAATTTCAATGGATTATGGTACAATTATGTTCCCTGACTAAAGGTACTGAGATGTACCCTTGAGGGTACCACAGCACTGAAAGTTTCATACCTTTTTTCTGAGAGTGTGGGTGTAAACGCAGTCACTAAAGTAGCTTTTCATCTTTTGAGAAATATTGCTAAAGTTACCTCAGAGTGATGGAGAGAAACTTGTTAATGTATTTGTTAAAAGCAGAGTTGATCACTGTAATCCTCCTCTTACTAGACTTCCTAAGAAAACAGTACATCCCTTACAACTCGTACAAAATGCAGTATCATGGATTCTAACAAAAACAAAACAGAGAGATCAGATCACTCCCATTTTGAAAGAGCTGCACTGGCTACCTGTATCTTTTAGGATATATTTTAAAGTTCTGCTACTAGTTATTAAGGCTCTAAATGGCCTAGAACCTGCTTGCATCACAGAATAATTTATGTTACAGCGTATTTAGTCTGTTTATGTTCTGCAAACACCTTCTGTAAAATACAGAAAACATGAAGAGGCCTTGTTCAGTTATTATGCTTCTAAACTGTGGGACTCAATTCCACCTTTTATTAGACAGTCAAGCTCAGTGCTCATTTTTAAGAAACATTTGAAAACATATATTTTTATTTTAGCATTTTATTAAAATTCTACCTCTTTTTGGTATTTGTGTTTTCAATTTGATCCGAATGCCTTATATGATTGTAAGTGAATACTCTTTTTTTTACTCTAATTTCTTCTATTACTGATAAGCTTTATTACTGTCAGTAAGGCACTTTGAACTAAGGCACTGGTATGAAAAGTGCTCTATAAATAAAGATTCTTCTTCTTCTTCTTATTATTATTATTATTATTATTAATATTAACCTTTGGGACTTCATGAGTTGTAATTATATCACAAAATAGAAGTATTGTAAAAAACGTTTGTCCAGTTTCTGCCAGAAAAAAAGTGAACTGAAGATCACAAACAAAACTGAACGTAATAAATGACAAGTTTATTGTTGCACAAAATGTACAAAATAACAAGCAAATGGACACTTCCCCCATCCAACCAGCCCCTCTCTTTACCCACCGATATGAAGTTGGAGATTTGGAACCTATGACTACAGCAAGTCCAATAGTCCGAGCCAAATGCATGGTTTCTTACAGACAACACACACCCAATTCAGATTCACTGAACAATTGAAAATGAATAAAAACACTGTATTTACACAATCTTGTCTGAAGTTGTACAGCATGCCATCTATATATTTATACAGAATATGTTTGTGAACATACCCCTGTATAAAAAATATACTGTAAGATCAAATTAAGTTAGACTAAGGGCTATAGACATCGAAAGTACAACACTGCATTTTGTTGTGTTTTAATCTTTTTAAATAATTTCTTTTTTTAATACCCACTCATTTTATGATGTGATCTTTTTTTTAAGCTTTTATTTTTTTTATTTTTAATTTACTAAAAGAAACATCCTCTAGCTGAATTTAAGCACATTTGTTTCACAGGCCTCTTAGACACCTGGTGGAAAATCTTATTCACGTATTTACACCGAGACATTCTGTGTTTATTCTGCTCTACGCCTTTTGTGTGTGTATGCATGTGTGTTTGTGTATGTACTGTTCTGTGAAGAAGTCAAAGACCCCCTTCATTCACTTAATTTCCAGTCAAAACATCCATTAAGTACAAGTTACTCTTTTTTTATAGATATTTTTGAGGAGAGTAGATATGCAGTAATTTAACTGCATAGGGAAAGGGAAAGTCTAAAGAATGTTTAAATGTTTAAAATATACAGAGAACATTTTATGCAATGTCCATGGACTCCTAACAACCATGCAAGACCTGGTAGATCACCAAAACTGTCACCGTCTATGAGAAAGTGGAGAAAATCAAGCTCTACTCTTGCTTCAGATCTGAAAAAATCCACAGGTGTTTCTGTCAACTCAACACTATGGGTCTTCTTTAGTCGTCAAGATGCAGTTACTGAAGAAAGGAAATAGACAAAAAGAGAAAAATCTGCAAATCCAACAAAGAAGCTGCTGGTGTTCTTAGAACAACAGACTGACCAGCCCAGTCCAGACCTCAACATCATTGAATGTGTTTAGGATTACTTGGATCATGAGAAGCAGAAAATGTAACCAACTTCTAAGACTGAACTTTGTAGATGTGGAAAAATATCCCTGCAGGTTTCTTTGAAAAACTGAAAGTAAGTCTCCTGAAAAGAATGGAAACTGTAAGAAAAACACTAAACACTGGACACACTATATACTGAAAGATTTGAAATGATCTTTGGTGGTTGAGGCTTCTGGGTGATTTTCTGTTAAATATATGCTTCCACTTTTTTTTGTAACACTGAAAAATGAATAACTTGTACTTAATGGCCATTTTGACTGGAAATGAAAAAAATGAAGGGTGGTGTCAGACCTTTACTCAGTATTGTATGCGTGTATAAGTGAAAGTAATCAGTATGATCTCCAGCTATTTAGGAGACTACACCTGCCCGTCAATTGATTGTGTACTCTAAAAGGCAATGTCATGGTTACATTTGGCAATAATCTGTTATAATGGCAGAAACAGAACTGCTATCACTCCATTACTGTGTTTTAACTGCGTACTGCTAAGAGATTGATGTATAGTGGCTCTTTTAATCACAGGCCTAGGACATCACCCCTCAGTCTGCTCGCCCTGCAATGAACGCACATCAGGCCACAGATGAGAAGCAGTGGTACAGAAGCAGCTATGGCGCTGAGCAAAATGTGAGTGGCTTTTGAAAGACAGTAGTTTCATGGCTTACTCAGAGTTACTCAAGAATGCCCTTTCCCACAATTCACTGGAGCAGAAAAACCCTAATACACGTTCTCATATGTACAGCCTTCCTTCTGTTCATCCTGTATTGGCACAAACAGCTTATTCGAAAAACGGATCACTGCCTTTGCAGTTGTTACCTCGGTTGAGTATTGCTGTACAGCACTAGTGAATAAGTCTAACAAAATGCTTAACTTCTTTACAAAACTATCCTGTGCTTTTTTGAGTATATACAGCGACGTAAATCAATCTCTTTTTATAATCACTGGTGGGTTTCTGTCGAGAAATGCAGAAATAGCATGACGTGATTGAGTCACGGATCCTGTAACTCACAGGAAGAAATATAATAGAGCGCAATCGTACCAGAAAACTGCAATGGAAGAAGCATGTCAACGATGAAGAGGCGAACGTGTTCAAAATCCAATGGAGTCTCGATGCATGGAAACAGAGCTGAACTATACACATCATGTTAAGCCATTTCAAAAATCTGTATAATGAACGGGGGGGAGTTGGCGTTGTTTTCTGTGTGCAAAAATACTCTCCAGAAGTATATGAACCCTTTTGATGTTGATTTTCATCTTTGCTGACCATACGGTTTTAATATATTCAATTTCGTCTTTAAGTTCTAAGTGTTCACGTCTGGTAGGCCGTGGTTCTGTTCCAGTTTGTACTTCAATATTCCTAGATATATATATGTATCTATATCTCTGTAATCTTCTTCTCATGTTTTTACAAAATCAGAGACTTGATGAACAATTGACAATATATATATATGTATATATATTTATATACTTTTTCATATTTCTTTCTATCTTTTTTTAGGTTATTGAAATTGAGATAATTTTGCATTTTATTCTTGTAAACAAACAGGTTTCTGAGGTTGCTTCACCCAAGACTGCCAGCCATCATCCTTTGTTCTCTGTCAGTCACTTCCACTGTTCTCTCTCTTTCGTTCCCTCTTGCTTTCATCCCTCTCTTCCCGAACAGCGCCGCTTCTCATTGAAGTAGAGCGCGGATTTGTTTCGAGGTGCTGTCGTCATTTAGATGTCTTGTTGTATACCTGCAGGTGAGAAGCGGTACAGAAGAGTGTTAGATGACAGGAAACCTGTTTAAAAGCTTCAGGGTTTGGAATATATTGGTTTTCTGAACACATAAAGCTGAGTATCAACTAAATTATAGCTCTCCACTGAAAATTCATTCTGGTCTAGGCCCTTTAGGTGTTGTATCTGACACAGAGTTCCTAGTTCCTACATCCTCCCTTCAGAAATAACAGCATATATGGCAGATAATGTAAACTGACATTAATTAACAGGACATGTAGAGACTGACTTATGACACCTGATCCGTGTACAACATTTAAATTTTCATAAAATGTCAAAAATATGTTTTAAGGGCTCATATTCAGTATTTTTCTATTATCTCAGACTCGTTTTAGTATTTGTAATCTAGTCTCTGGTCTAACCAACTACAACATATTGGTGAACAATTTGACCACCGTTTTAAAAAGTTATATTTATTTACATTTAATACATTATCACACTCTTCCATATTTGTAGAGGACTCTATTTCAGTCTTAACTCAGTCTCATAGTTATAATCTTAGACTTGTTTTGGATAGGGTTGCACATCTAGTCACAACACAAGTCACAAGCATTCACAAGTGTAATAAGGGGTGCGGTTGCCAGCAGATGCTGTGGTTTAAAGTGTGAAATGTGCACTGCAGAGGAGTTTCAGTAATCCATTAGCCCACAGAGTTGCACAGACTGTCTGGTGTAAACTGCACACTAAAGTCACCACTGCTCTTAGCATCTCACCTCTCATGGAGAAATTAAACAGTCTCTGGCTATCCATGCTTCCATGCACTTGTTTTATCAGTTCAATGGGAATCAAATGATTGTGAAGTTAAAGGCTAAAAGCAAGCAATTGCAGCTCTACAGATAAGCCTTTCAGAGAGAGATACAGGCCTAGTCGCTGAACCAGAAAACATTCATGCTATTATGTTTCAAGTTATTCCTGAAATTCTTTCTGAATTTTGTTTAAAACAATAAGTAGCAAGTAAATGAGATCCCTGTGATCGGTCATTTTGCATGTCAGTGGAATTGCTCTTTTCAGAGACAGCAGTTCGACCCAGTCTGGCTAAAGGCCACCACACAATGGACACACTATGTTGCTCGATGCAGCATCCAAAAATCTAATCAAATCAAAACCATTGTTTATAATGAATGTACATAAACCAACATTCCGCTGTGATGTGCGTCAGTGTGCACACCTTAATTTAAAACAATGGGTTTGAATTTTTGTCTTTACTACTGCACTGGTGGTCTTTTTGAGCCTGTATTTCAATGCAGTCTTACACAGCTTGCAGTGGAATAGTTTTCCACACAAATACAATATTTTCTTATTTGTGTTTAGCAGAAATAAAACTGTTTATTTTGGCCTAAATTTGACATAGATCTGATTTTATTTGGAACTATGTGAACACAAAAATCTAGATCACAGCCACTTTCATATGTTCTCCTATATAGAATACGTATCAGATACATGATGTGGTTCTGCAGCTTAGTTTCCAAACATGGACGGTATGAACTGGGGGTGAACTGTATGTTTTACAACTTTAACAAGGTTTACATACTATCATCATACAAAACTCTCTTGCTTCAAAAAGCAAGGAAAATTCAGTTCTCCATGATATGGGCCCTTTAAACATATAGTACAGTACGCACACATGAGTCGACTCACCTCAGTGCATTCAACAGTCCCTCCACACTGTTTGAAGGTTGCTCTTTCAACACCTTGATGCAGCCCTTCATCTGCACAACACAGACACCCACAAGCACATACTGCTTTAGAGAAAGGTCAACCTCTTTCTGAAACTCACCCCTACTGTGACAGTGCACACAGCCACACATGCCCTAATAAGCAATTCTGTTGCACAGCACACACATGCACAGCATACGTGTTGCTCCACATCACTAAAGGGAGCTAAATGAACAGTGCAATGGCAAAGGATAGCTGTGTACTGCAAACAGAACAATAATATAACCTGTGAATAGAAAGAGAATAAGCCACTTTCATATGTTCTCCCAGATAGAATACATATCAGATACATGGTCATTCAACCTTAAAGAGAACAGACAGTTTAAAATTCTTGTTTGGCAGATCTGATTTTTTTAGACCTGTGTGAACACAAAAATCTAAATCTAAGCCACTTTCATATATACTCCTAGATTGCATACATATTAGATTTGTGGTCATACGACCTTAAAGAGAACAGACAGATTCAAATTTTGAATTTTTTATATCAGTTTTTGCAGATCTTATTTTTTAGACCTATGTGAGCACAAAAATCTAGATCTAAATCATTTACATATGTTCTCCTGGATAGGATGGATATCAGATTCATGGTCATGAAACCTTAAAGAGAACAGATAGTTTCAAATTCAGAATTTTTTTTCACATCAGGTTTGGCAGATCTAATTTTTTTAGACCTATGTGAACATAAAAATCTAAATCTAAGCCACTTTCATATGTTCTCCTAATCGGATACATATCAGATATGTGACCATGTTTAGGGTTATGTGAACACAAAAATCTAGATCTGAGCCATTTTCATATATGCTCCTAGATCATTAGATCACATGGCCTTAACAGTCAGATTTCAAGGCAGAGGATTCAAATCTGAGCAAGAAATCAAAACATGGCAGTATGGCTTGTAATGTGGCTGTAGCCAAAATGCTTTCTTCTTTTGAAAGTGTGGAAATAAATGAAGAATTCAGAGTCTCTTACGTCAATCTTGGAGGTTTTAGCGAAGGCACCCACGGGGTGAACATGATCATAGAGGATAATGACGCCCACCATCACACGCATGCAGAACAGCATGGTGTCTGTGTTGGTAAAACGGCACCGGTACTCCCTGCACAAATGGAACAGCGCCAAGTCAGTTAGGCCTTCAACAAAATTCAAAAGGCAGATAAGGTTTGAAATGCTGGCAGGATATGAAACGAGATAAGATGCTACTCTTGGCATTCGCTCACAGAAACAGTCAAGACCTGCAACATTTTGAGAAATAAAGAAAGAAAAAGAACTTCTAAGAAAGATGAACTTACGGAGTCTCTAGCATGACCCGACACACACAGGCCATAGTGCTCAGGCAATCTGTGGTGTCCTCAATGGGCAATGTCTTGTTCTGTAATAATACACAATATAGGGTCAATGCAACACCAGTGACAGCCTCTAGAGGGCAACAGCATTAAAGCTTCTTAATGTGGTGTAGGATTTTCTTCCTTTTTGACAATTGGCTTTGTTAGACAAACATGTCACTACCCCGGAGCAGTGCTGTACATGAAGACGACATTTTCACTTGCCTCTGACACAAACTTAGTCGTGGCGTTGCTCAAGGTTTTCAGCATAGGTGTGGCTTCCGCATAAAAGAGCGACATCCGATTGGCCATCTCATTATTGACTTCATTCTCTGCCTCTAACTGCAGTAAGAACAAATATTGGTTAGTTTGCAGGTTCTGAAGCTCCACACGTGACTAATTTACATAACCCTGTCCAGATCAGCAGAAACATAAACGTCGGCCCATCTTGGCGCAGCATTGACACAAAGTTGGTTACCTGCTGATTGTTCAGCCGATTCCTGCTTATGGTCCTCCTGTAGTAACTGAAGTCATTCTGGATGGCTGGATTTGTCATCTATGAGAGACAATACAACTCATTCAGAACATCTGCTAATCTCACAGCATGTCATGTGCAAAACCTCTACAAAGAAAACACATAACTTGTCTACCTGAAAGACTAGTTCTCTAGAAAGAGTTGATTTCCTCACAGAAAGCTGTGGGATAGTCTCACCTTGAGCTCGTCAAAGCTGAGGGTAAAGTGCAGGATCTCTGCAAACTGCTTAGCCAGAGCCTGCTCTCTCTCCAGATGCTGCATGGGGGCATATGGAGGGCTCGTCAGGGCCTCCAACAGGCTGCGCAGGGCATTCTCTAAAAGATGAACATTACACAAAATTGCATCACATAAAAGTCGATGTAAACTTACTGGTAGCTTTTTAAAAGCCAAATTGATTTCATTATTTGTGTCTTATGCTACCATTTGTGCTTAATTGACTTGTGGCTGCAGGATTTTGCAGTGTTGCAGGAGACAGAACACTAGAAGCCATCGTCTTCAGGTTCTCAGTGGTACAGTACATTTTGACTTTTTGTAATGAAAACATTTGGTTAGCCCTCAGAGACCCTCTGTTGCAAATTTGTATCAGTTATTTAAAAGCCTCTGTTATGCTTAATTCTGACTAAATGCCACTAAAACTAAATCTCTCAACAGCCTACATGTAACCTGTACCGTAGCATCATTTGCGGTGAAAAAAAATGATTGAATTTCTCAGTATGCCAAATTTAAACATTTCTGCTTCATTGTCTCATTCTCCATTGTCTGCAATAGAGTACTCCATTACAGACAATGGGTCCAGCTCCAGTCCTGTGGACCCCTGCCCCACAAACACTTTATGAGGGTTTATGAGCGTTTATGACTCCCCTTTTATATTCATAGCCCACACATTTTACTGCAATTTAAAGTATTAAATTTACTGTTTAAATATACATCTTTATGATACAGACTCACTTATATTAAATACAATTAAACATACAATGGGGAAGTTCTGTCACCATGAAACTAGGGATACACTGATCATTCATTTTTATGGTCTATTCTGATTTTTTTTTGCCAATTTTTATTAGCCTTTTAATTTACATGGTCTAAAAGAACATATTAAACACACTAGCATATTTCCAGTGCTTTCTATTAGCTCAATATAAACAATTTTATTTGCCCTACAGTGTGTGCAATGGTATTTTACATAAGGAAATGAAAAATCAGTTGCCTAGTTAAATAACTCAAATAAAACACTCCACTGGAAGTAAGAGGAAACTGGCTATTCTGTCATGCATAATTCTGTCATGTTATTTTGGTATAGGCATAGCAGCAGTATTCAAATACAGCGTGAATGCACCAGGCTCATGTAATTTACGTCATAGTATTACAACACAGATTGACCAAACTTAAAATAATAAATTAGCCGATTGCTGTGCATCCCTATTTAAAACCCATGGTTGCAAGTTTGCAAAGATTTCCACAAAATCCACCCCAACACAAGATATGTAGAAATATCATACTTATCATACTTAAAAGAGAGAAAAAAAAGTGAAAATACATACAATTTCTGATACATTTCACAAAGTGTAATCCCTGCACTGCAACTGTACTGTAACAAAGTATGCAGAGGCTCTTCATGGTATCTATCTCTCCACCGTCTGTAATGAAGGCTTTTGAGCTCAGCCATCAGAGCTGAGCTGTTTATTAATGTCATTAGTATGCTTTAGCATGTCTCCAGAGGGGCTATGCCTCCTCCTCATGAAATATGCAGCAGCCCTTCCATAAATAACAAGCTGATATGTTTTATCTAGAGGCCTGCTAAGAAACTTGACTCTCCAGAGCCGTTAGCTGGGGACCGGAAATGCGGCGATGGAGGGACGGATACCAGGATGCGTTGAGAAGGGCGCAGTGTGTGTCTTTTTTTCCTAAAGTCATTATTTCATTGACTTTGTGTGTGTTGGGTTTCTCCTGAGTCAGGTGGTCTCCTGTGGCCCGTCGGGGAAGGCTTTAGTGCGGCATTACTGGCCGTAATAGCATACTGCCTCCAAGTCAGCACAGCCACGGGAGAAGTGTCAGGCTAGCAGTTATCACCCTGCGAATCTGCCGAATACTCAGCGTGCATGGAGGGCGGAAGCTCTGCCTAGTCTACACTCTCCCCGCTGCGGTATCCATGGTAACGCTGCTGCGAGGTCAGCCGCAGAGGAGGAGAAGCAGCTGCCTGCGCTCTTTCATCTGCACCAGCACTGTCCCTGCGCTCTGCAGCCATGTTGGCTCAAGCCCTGGGCACGCAAACCCACTTATCCTTTCATGTAGAGATGGCACGATACCAGTTTTCCTCCTCTGATACCAATATTGAAGCCTTCAGTTGAAGTTGCTGATGCAGTGCAATGTCTCTTTCTTTATAAACCACTAAGCTTTAAATTTAGCTGTTTTTTAACTGAAGCACCTGAGCATCTAAATGTAGGCTATGATGCTAAACTGCTCAAACACTACTGTCCCACAAGAAGAAATATACAGCTAACATGATGATGATTGGATTGGATTCATTGTTTTTTTCTCCTCCAATATACAATCTAACATTTTTTTCCTTTTATTAGCCCAATACAGTTAATCCGGTGCCTTCTCTATTTTCTACAAAAATCCAAATGGAAAATAAATAAATAAATAATTGTTGCCCACTCACCTAACCTGAGTGAAAATTCATAGAACCGCTTCAGCTTGGCCACTAGGGGGCACACAGCATTCCAGGCTTTCTCCTGTAGCTGGAGGTCATTGGGGTTCTGAATAGCCTGGAGAGAAGAACAAAAACAAACACAATTTAGAATTTTGTTATCAGCGGAGGCTGTGATACAATTGCCCAGTCCAGTGTAGGTAAATAAGCTTGGACTGCAGCAAGACCCTATCAGCACTGGTTGGTTGTGCTTCTCTAATTGAGCTAACACTGCATGTTGCCTTTGATCTGAGAGAGCTTTTGCAGCTGAGTAAACCCCATGTACCCACTTATGCTATACCAGAGTACTCCAAGCATATGTCACCAGGCCTATAAAACCAACCCGTTAATGTGTATTTATTCATAAAGTGGAATAAATAGTAGATTTCCAGCCATCTATCCTTTAGGGACGCGCCCTCACTTCTCTTATCTCTTGCCCCGCTCCATTGTAGGACTGTAACTCTGCTAGGATCCCGTGAGCCTCCTCCAGCACTGCGCTGACCTGGTTCCAAACGGCCGTCTCCGCCTCCGTGGGCTGGGCATCTAGAGGAGCAGAGTGCGGACGGAACAGGGTCGGAGTGTCAGAATTTATAGAAGTCAATAGAAATATGAATTAATGTCAAAGACAACCATTGTCCTTTCCGGTTAAGGTTCCTCTGGCCACCTGGATTATTTATCACCTCTGTCAGACACAGGCTCGCCTCGTTCCTTTCTCACTGGCAGCATATAGCTTTGGCTTTAACTGGCCTTGTAGTTACATTAGCATTGATTCATGTTGATGGCAGCGAACCAAATAACACACCCTGTTTCTGGCACTGATCAGAAATGGAGGCTACTTTTAAAGTCCGATCTGAACAAAGAGGGAGTTAAAGAGTTTGTTCTGTGAGCTAATTTTGGTGTTAATATTGGATTACCATCTCAGACTTTGGCACCCAATGAGAGAGAGAGGTCTGTCCAAAGGCATAGAGAGCTGGGTTTTATAAATCCGCACAGATTAGTTTGGTAATGACTACAGTGTTATTCTGAGTCTGAAATACATGAGGAGGATTTAGGTTTTGTTGGAGTGTATTGGAGGATTTGTTGGAGTTGAAATAGCTCTCAGGGGAATCTGGGGAGATGAGTGGATGAGCAGATACCATGGGGAGTCTGGGTTGGGTGTGACTAATAAGGCCTTGGTTGGGCACATTGTAGAAAAAAAGTCTGGTTTATCTGCACTGCTTTGTCTCCTTTTTGGAGCCCAGAAAGGGCTTAGCCACCCAAAGCAGGATTTCTAATTTTTGAACGAATATTGGGTTTTACTCAAGCTTATTCATGATGTTATTTCTCAGTAGTTTCTAACCAGATAACTATGGAAACAATTTTCTCCAAGCAAGGTGAAGAATACTCAATGTCACAAGCATGCTTTCTGCAGTGTGTGCTGTCAGGGCCACATATTCATCTGTTCAGCAATACAGGTCAGTTTATTTATGCCAGTGGGTGTTAAGGGTCACACAGTATATCGTTTGTCAATCGTTATCCCAGTACAAATATTACAAAAATCTGTAATACACAAATGCAGCTTCTCCTCCATCAGTGCTTTTTTTTTCCTATGTGCTGTGATCAATGTGACCAATCACAGTTCCAGATTGATGTATTTGTGAGTGTTTTGATGAGTTAAGGTATTCACATAATCCAGCAAATGCAAAATATTTTGGTCAAAATAATAAAAGCCAATCTTTTGTTATTACATTATTAATGCAACAATGCAGTTTTAACAAATTTAAAGCTGTGATGCAATCACAATACAGTCATTTGCAAAAGTTTGAATGCTCCTGGTTAAATTACACTTTTTCTAATTGAAAATAAGTACAAAATCTCAGAAAATCAAGGGAAATTGTGGAAATTACTTTTACAGTTTGCATACAACTGTATGTAACACTATTGGTAATGTCTTTGTCATTGTGCATATCTCGTGGGTGTTTACATATATTGGAAAAGGGAGAGTTTTGAACTCACTGTAAAAAATGTACAGCTCCAAAAATCCCACACAAGTTGCATAGGATGATTTTGGACGTGCTGAGTGATGACTCCTCATATCCAAGAGCATTTTTATGTGGAGGCATGTGTTGTAGATAATGAACTGTGCTAATAAACCCATAAGCTGCATAAGAGAGGTCATCTCACAGCCTGATTTAATGTTCAGCTCTACTCTCACTGGACAGTCACAGTTTTTGTTCTGTAATATAGCCTGGCATAATTATTCTATTAGAGTCTCTCTCTCTCTCTCTCTCTCTCTCTCTCTCTCTCTCTCTCTCTCTCTCTCTCTCTCTCTCTTTTTCTCCATCTGTGCCTGTTGGATGGATACACTTGCACATGTTTGTGGCTAACAGCCATTGTGCTATCAGCTGAGCAAACATACAGCAGTGCTTACCCCAGGCCTACACACACACAGTGAATTTGAGCATCGTTGCCAGTGGGATCCTCTCAGTCATCCCACCTCAGGCTCTGTTTATTTGCTTTTTTTTGCATTTGATCTTTAGGGAAGGGTTACTTTACAGTTTGGAGATAAAAACAATCTTTCTGTGAAGGTTCACAAGTGTTCAGTTAGCATCTCTGTCTTTTGTAAAAGTGCATATAGGTGACTATTGACTTTCAGCTTATGTAAAAAGAATTTAATACTGTCAAACTGGAGATAACAGGGTTTCATTTGACAGCAGTGAGTTCCAGTTAGTTTTTTGGGCTGATGAATCGTTATTAAAACCATGAGAAAGGGAAACGAGAGCCATGACAGAGGTGACCATTCTCCTGTCCAGTACAGAGCAGTAAAGGCTGCTGTCCAATTCCTTCTTATAAAGCTACCTTTGGCCTTACTTTTACTCTAAATAGCAACAACATAAACATCAATCACCATACTTCCTCTACAAAATGCTGATTGACCTATCCACTGTCTACCCACAAATGCGGATTTTTGTAGCTACTGTTGCTGGGGTGGACAAGCTTTAGAGAGCATAACTCAAAACACAGTTCATAATGAGAAACTGTAGCACACAATGTCGGCTTTTGTCAACATACTGACATTACTTACAGTGGACTAAAGTGATGTTTGTTTAGACTGAACGTTCAGTTTAAAATGCAGTGCTAATGACCTGGACTATGTTGTAGCTAATTAAAACTAGTCTAGTTGGAAGCAACAACAACATTGTTGAATTTGCCATCATGCTAATGTTAATCATCCTAGCCTGAAATGAAACAAATGCTGCCTACTTAATCAAATATTTGCATAAAATGCTGCCTACTGTGGTTCCTCCATTTGGCCAACTAAGAATTTTGTCACAAGAAATAGCCAGTTCATTGTGTTGTAAATAAAAGTTATTTTAAAAGTGTATTTGTGTTTTGTGATCTAATAGTTACAGTACTCGTAAAAACAGCTACTGTCGTCTTTTAGTTTTTTTTTGTTCTTTTAGAACAGCGACCAGCAGCTCTTTATTATGTCTGTTTTTATGCAGTAAGTGTGTGTTAGCTAATTTAGCTAATACAAGGCAGATCATGGTAAGCTAATCCTAAGGTATCTATGCCAATAAACCTAGTGAAATGTGGGTGATTTTTGAGCTTTTAGAGCTTCTTTCTGTGGGGTGAATGTTGACTTTCTGTAAAATATAAAACTTTATCCTAGCCTTCCTAAAAGATTTTTTAGAAAACAAATGCTATCACAGCTAAACGCTAATCTGATAAGCTGTCAGTGTCTTGGTAATGTCAGTATCTTGTCAACTTCATGGCATATTGCTGTCTTTGAAGCATGTTTTAAATATGATTTGGTAGCAGGTACTTTCATCACAACCCTTACAGAAAAGCCAAATGTGTTTGCATGTGAAAAAATATGAGATCACATGTGAAAAACGTGTAATTATTTATTTATTTACTTACTTACACACATTAAACATATGTGACTCTCTGTTCTCTGTAAGGGAACAGTGCCTCCTAAGGCACTGACAGCATGGGCAGCAAGGCATTAAGACATTCTCTTAATGCCTTGCTGCACATGAAAAATCTCCTGAAAAATCCCATTCGAAAGGGATGTTTGCCAATATTCTGACAATCTTGTCCACAGTAGCTACAAAGAAACGGAACTGTGTCTGTTTCTTTATAGCTGTGGCTGTAACATGGAAGTACAAATGTGATAGATGTTTATGGGGATTTATAGGCCACTTTGTCATAATTAGTTCTAATCGTTGGGTACAAAGCATTAGCTTGTACATTATTTCATTACAACTAATGAATTGAGCTTTAGCCAGACAGCATAAAGCCTGAGTGGACAGCAGCCTGTCTGAGCTCACTGGTTACTCATGCAGGTTTAGCTGGTGTAGCACCAGAAAAGTGGAGGTGTTAGAGGTGGAGCTGGCAGAGGAGTGCAGGTTTTGAACAAAGAGTGGTTACTCGGGAAGGAGAAAAACGTTAAGGAGAGTAAAAAAGAGAACAGAGAGAAATGGAGATTCCTGCTCTCCATTCCCACTTCCTCAGTTCATACACAAGCCATTCAACATGCTCCCTTCTCTCAGTCGCTCAGTCACTCGCCGACACCCACACACACGCACTACACATCCTCATGGTATGAACAGATGACATGGGCGTTTGGAAAAGGCATAGACGAAAGGTGAGGAGACATAAAGTTAGATGGAGGCTACTGTGCATGTGTTTAGCTCCCAGTGTAACCGTTTAAAGAAGCATGGCATTCTTGAAAGAATATTTACCGCTAGACTTGGTGATAAAAACAATGACCACAATTGAGGACACTGAGAGACTCTTGAATGCCATTGACTTATGCACAAATAGAGGAATAGAGGGGGAAGAAAAGGAAATGAAACCTGAGATGACAGAGAATGGGGAGGAGCAATGTTTTGAAAAAAGGAAAAAAAGAAAGAAAGAAAACTCAAAAATAAGAAGCTGATGATCTCACGTTCAAAGTCAAGGAAAACTATTGGGCCATGCTCAAGTTCGGCGCAAGCCAGCACTTTCAGGAGATTCCCCATGAGCCCCCTGGAAGAGAGAGAAGGGAGAGGTGTGTGGGTGATGGAGGGTCAGGGAGGTGTGTGTGGTGTGTTTGTGTGCGTGCGTGGAATCAGGGGGACGTACAGGGCGTAGGGTGTGGATGGAATGGACTAGATAGTGTTGTAGAGATCAGGAGAGCAGGGGCTTTTGGGGTGATGTCATGGTAGAACATTCAAACTCTTCTTCTTCTTCTCTGCTCCCTTCTGATTCTAAACACACTTCCCCAGAAACAAGTGCAAGCACCCACAGAACCTCCTCCAGTCCATCACACTGCCAGTCATCCTCGTATGTGTTCTTTCCACACCAACCTCAGCACATCCACCCTGATCTCTCACACACACACACTAATGCACCACCAACACACCACACAGCAGCAGACACTTACTTTCGAAGTCCAGAAAAAAATGTGGACAGTTCTCTAAATCCTTGCCAAGGACCTTAATGAGGTTCCCCATGGCCGGCAAACCTGGGTATGGGAGAAAATAGATGCATACAGTGCAAAAGCAATGAAACCTCTTTTTTCACAATACAAGAGCGGTTAATTAGTCTGTGTCTAGACAAAAAGAAGGTGAGACAAAAGGTAGACATCACTCTTGAGCTTTTACATTACATAAAAGTGCATCCCAGGTGGCTCTTTATTTCATTATACAATGGTTTATTCTCTTTTCATTTCAGTACTACACATTATCAAAAATAAAGGTACTAAAAAAACTTTGGATGCCATAGAAGAACCACTTTTGGTTTCCTAAAGTGGACTCTTTAAATAGACAGTTCTTTAAATGATCATTTCCATGAATGAGTGAGAAGAAACTTTTTGCATGTGAAACAACCCAAAATATGTTGCAAAAATTAAAAATGATTCCTTACATTTAAGCTAAACTATGCATCCAAGCCAAGCACCAATTAGGAACTTTTGTTTTTAAAAGTGTACTGGTGCAAACAGGCAGCCCTAAGCAGAAGCTATAGGCGCCAGAGTATTGAAAGAGGTGGTCAGTATTGTATACAGTGCCTTGCAAAAATATCCAACTCCTATAATCCATAAGATTTGTCTGGATTATAAATGACACTTTGATATGTTGTGTTGCCTCATTTTATTTTGAAAGATTGCCCTTAAAAATTAATTAAAAGTGAAAATTGTGAAAAAAATCTCCATTTTTTTTTTACAGATATTGCCCTAACAAGGACACATTTGGCCTACAATTGGCCTGTAAATCATTAAAAACGTTTACCTTTTCTGATAAAAGACCTTTTTATTCAAGTATCATTGGTCAAACTGTGAATCTGAAGGAAGTGTGTGAAATGAAGAGCATTCTAAGGAGATGAGAGATAAAGTTATAGACAGGCACAAGATGGTTGAAGGCTACAAAGTAATGCCGTGTGTTTCGATATCCCACTGAGCACTGTTGGATTAATTGTGAGGAAATGGAAGCCTCATCATACCACACAGGCACTGCCTAGACAAAGCTGTCTCTCAAAACTCAGCATCAGAACAAGAAGGGGACTTAAAGTCACAAAGAGGCCAATAGTTACATTGATAAAGCTCCAGAGTTCAGTGGCTGAGACTGGGCTGAAGGTCCACCAATATCAAAAGCTCTTCATACAACTGGCCTGTATGGGAGGGAAGCTAGAATGAAGCCATTACTGAAGGAAAAACACAGCTGGATTTTGCCAGAAAGCACCAGCATGACCCAGCTAAAATGTGGGATAGGGTTTAGCGGTCAGATAAGACAAAATTGATCTTTTTGGCCAAAATTCAAAACCACATGTGTGGCACAAACCTAACACTGCCTATTCTTCAATATTCTTCATATTCTTCAACACCCAGCAGTGAAGTATGGGAGTGGCAGTTCCTGTTGTGGGGTGCTCAGTAGGGACTGGGCAGCTTGTTAAAATGGAAACATATATGAATGGTGCAAAATACTGGAAGATACTGCAAGACAACATGCTATAGTCAGCTAAAAAACTAAAGCTTGGGAGAAACCTCACCTTTCAACAGTACAGTGATCCCAAGCACAGGGCCAAAGCAACACTGGAATGGTTGACCAACATAAAGGGAAACATTTTACAATGTCCAAGTCAAAGTCCAGATCTCAATCCAATCAAGAATCCATAGCACTATTTTAAAATTGCAGTCCACAAGCGTCATCCAATCAACCTGAACAACCTAGAGAATTTCTGCCAGGAAGAACGGACAAAAATCTCACCCAGACAGTATGCAAAGCTGGTAGAAACTTACTCCAACAGACTGTTCTTGAAGCAAAACGTGGCTCTACCAAGTACTGGTCTAAAGGGGTTGAACACGTGTGCAAGCAGTATTTTTCAGTTTTATATTTTTTAAAGATCAGCTGACAAACAATGCATCTGTTAGTGTGATTTGTAAACCAGACAAATCTACAGACTTATAAGTGGGTTGAATACTTTTGCAAGCACTATATATAAAGGAGGAACCAGAAAGGAAATGAAGCTTCGGTGGTGAGCTGACATTTTCTCTCTTGCTCTTTCTCTGTTTGGATACATTTAAATGTTGATGCCACACAGTGAGCACTTGCTGGTGCTACAGATTTTGCGGAATCGTTGGTGTAATTAATTGTCATCCAAATGGATTCCAAAACCAAACTTCAGCAGATATGAATATGAATAAGAGACCATGAAAAGTAAACAACAACAACAAATAATAATAATAATAATAATAATAAGAAGAAGAAGAAGAAAATATTTCATGTCATTTATAAAGTGACATTGGACTGGACTGGCCATTTTAACTGAATGATCTCATATTAAATCTGTGTGAGAACCTAAATACTATATTGCCTATATTGTGCATCAATCAATGCTGCTTTTCTGTCACTGTCAGTGCAACATAATGTCTTTAGCTGGAGTGGAAATCAAAATAAGGACGTTTTATTTGTTCATGGTTAAAACAGTGAGTGTACTAACAGTATAAAGGAACATATCCTTGCTTACTGCGATCTAAGGCAGGATTTATGCACAGCTGTTTGTAAGAATTCACAGTCTGGCAAGGGCCTTTTCCCCATTACTCAGCAGTTTTTTCAATACCAACATGAAAATAAATCACTGACTTGCGTTTTTCTGTTGGTTTACAACACTTAAGTTTCCTTCTGACATAGTAATAATTAAAAAAAGCAATTAAGGTCACTTTTTGTCAGTCATTGCTGTTGTTGTTACTACACCAATTAGTTTATGTGACAATTTGTAATGTTTAACTGAAGTGAGAAAAATGCTGGGTAATGCAACGTATAAAAATGACTGTTAACTCCTTTCTTGCCATGATCATGTATAAAGTACTCTGCAAAGGTCTTAGGCACCAAAGAAAATAAGTGATCACAGTAAACATGTTTTTGCCAGTAAAAACGCCATATAATGGCAGAATAAACACAAGTAAACATAAACTACAGTAAAAAATACAGTAAAAAGTAACAAGATTTTTTTTCAAAAAAGTAGTTGATGTTGTGAGCTGTTGAGAAGAACAGAGGTTTGGTTTCAGATTTCTCCTTGATGCCTCCAGCCATTACATATATTTTTTAAATTCCATCAGCAGTACAGCTGATTTAATTTAATCAAGCACTGATTAGCCAAACCAGGTTTTGGATAATAACTACACCTAATACTGGACTGCTAATGGGGAGAGGTTAGTAAATGGTTAAGCCAACACACTGATATATGTAAAACCACCACTTATAGTGTTAATATTATTTGCATTCTCTGAGCAAATAAACACATACTGCCCAGAAAAAAATAACTTTTCTGTATATGACCATGACCATATGCATATATATTTTCTGTACTATTTCTGTTATGTATATTCACACCAGCTAATCATCAAGATGGGCCAAATGCACCAGATGCATAACCACTGAGGATCAGCCACCAGATTACACTTACACCATATGTAAGAGGGCTGGCGCTTTGGCACGTTGAAATCTCAAGGGACTCAACATGAGAGTAGAGATCAGTGAGAGCTCCCAGTTGACTTTCTTAATATAATGAAAACCGATTACACTCTTTCTCAGGAGACACAAGTGTACATATTAGCATTAGCCTAATGAATGTACAGTATTAGCGCTTATAATCATTAGTAACATGGGGAGCTTAGTATCACCTCTGCATACTGCAATCACACAAAGAAAGACAAAAACACTGAGCATTAAATGCATTAAGAGGCTACACTTTCAAACATGATCTGAAATGGTTGCTAGCTTCACACTAGCATCAAATGGTGTTGCAGTGTGTGTGTGGTTAAGCTCTACACACACATACACACTCATGAACACTACAGAGATGGCTCGCCCCAGCCTGTTTATCACTGCCTGTCTCCTGGCAACCACCAGTAGAGCTCTGTTTCCATGGCTGGACCGCTCAGCTTTCCCTCCCTCCCACCTCTATCTCTGGATGGCTTGGACTTTCATCGGCTATAAGCCTCTTCGTCTCTCCCAAAACTTATTATGACCAGCCAGAGTGCACCTGCTTAGAGCTGCAGTGCACCTTGCTGCTGCCAAATGACTTCCATGCCTATTAAATCACAGGCCTAGTGTTTTGGACTGCATTAAGACTTGGTGATTGTTTTGCTTTCTATATTAAAAAAGCTGTCTTCACCACAGTAGAAGAAGCAGATGGCAAATGTTTAAAGTTTTAGCTGCTGTCTCCTCCCCTACCCTCAAAAAAAGCTGCCAAAGTGGTTATTTGAGCGATGCTATAGAAGAACCAGGGGCGGCACGGTGGCGCAGTGGGTGGCACTGTCGCCTCACAGCAAGAATGGCCTGGGTTAGATTCCCGGCCGGGCGACCGACTTTTCTGTGCGAAGTTTGCATGTTCTCCCCGTGTCTGCGTGGGTTTCCTCCGGGTACTCTGGTTTCCTCCCACAGTCCAAAGACATGCAGTCAGGCCAGTTGGACATGGTTAATTGCCCCTAGGTGTGTGAATGTGTATGTCTGTCTGTCTGCCCTGCGATAGAGTGGCAACCTGTCCAGGGTGTATCCTGCCTTCCGCCCAATGACAGCTGAGATAGGCTCCAGCACCCCACCGCGACCCAGAAGGATAAGCGGTTTAGATGATGTGTGTGTGTATAGAAGAACCATTTTGGTTCCATAAAATAACATGTTAAAAAAAACAGATTTGTAAACATTTTAAAGGTTTCACATAACGTAAATGTTCTATATCAAAATAAGCATTCTTTTCGGTAATCTTTACATTATGTGAAGGTTCTTTAAATGGTAAGAAGGTTCTTCACACTCACATTTCAATTACAAAAATGGTTTTCATTCAAAGGATCCTCTATAGTATCGCACGAAGAACTCTTTTTGGCACGTATTTTTAAGGGTACATACCAATTAAAGGTTTTGCCTAGAACCATACTTCGAAGAACCACTTAGGAGCCCATTAGCTCCTATTACTGCCTCTTACTTCTCATCATAGCCTTTATCAATGGACAAATATGCACGTACTAGCATAATGCATGAATAGCAATAGCCTTCAACACTATCAGTAACATGGGGGATGATGCTATCTGTGGTCCTTTGCCGTTACCTACCAGCCAAATTCTGCTCGTCTTCTCCCACCTTTCTTTGTTTGCTTTCCTCTGCTCTCTTTAGTTATGGCTGTGCTATATCTCTTCCTCTTGTGGAGGTATTCCTCAGGACAGCGGTGCTGTGCAGTCCCCAGCACTCAGGCTTAAAAGTGCGCAGTCCTACATGCGCTTCAAATGTCTCTGCACTCAACATCTCACTGTTCTTTTCACACTTCTCTTTTTCTGACTGCTATTTAAAGGCACATTGTATGTGAGCGTGTGTGTTTGTGCGAGCGTGTGTGCATGTGTGTGCGTGTGTTTGTTTTTCATATATTTTCAGGGCAAAAATGTCCTCACTTTACAATAAAAACAGGCTAACAATACAATGTTTCTTTTTTAAGTAAAAGACAGAAACAGAGATTCGAGAGGTTAAGGTAAAGGCTAGGTTTAGAATTAAGCTTTAGAAAATTTTTTTTTTTAATTTCTTAATTCATTTAAATTCCAGTCAAAATGGTCATTTATGGTCAAGAAAATCACACAAGCACCGCAAAAGCTCAACATAATATCACATTTTTCAGTATCTAGTGTGTCAACACTTTGCCCTTTATTACAGCATTCATTCTTTTGGGGCACTTGCTTTCAGTTTTTCAAAAAAATCTACACGAATATTTTTCCACACCTCCGAAGTTCAGTCTTAGAGGTTGGTTGCATTTTCTGCTTCCTACAATCAAAATAATCCTAAACACATTCAGTGCTGTTGAGGGCTGGACTCTGGGGTGGCCAGTCCATTGTTCTGAAAACACCATCAGCTTCTTTGTTTAATTTGCAAATTTTCTTCTTTTTTGTCTATTTACTTTTCTCAGTAATGGCTTTTTGACAGCCACTCATCCTTTTAGACCCATGATACTGAGTTGTCTTCTCACAGTAGAAGGATGGACAGAGACACCTGTGGATTTTTTCAGATCTGAAGCAAGAGTGGAGCTTCATTTTCTTCTCTCTCTAAAAGATGAAAGCCTTAAGTGCTGTTTATCTAATGGGGACAGTCTTAGTGGTCTATCAGGTATTTTTCCCCATATGATTTAGTGATTTTTTGAACTCCAGTTTTGGAAACTCCTGTTTTTCACTTATTTTCCTTTTCTTTTTTCTTCTTTATGGAAGTAGATCTTATACTTAATCTCCCAGAAATATCTTCAGAAAAACAATTAACTACATTTATATGCTTAATGGCTGTTTTGACTGTAAATTAACATCAATGAAGGGTGGTCTCTGACTTGCACAGTACTGTATACATAAGGGACATAGAGTATATATGACACTATGTCCTGACAAGGTATAAAAACAAACCTGTGTGTGTTTTTCAGCCCTTGACAGAAATATCAGTCTGTGGTCCTGTGTCAGGGGAGGGGGTATGGAGGGTGTTTTAAACTAGGGCTGGTTTTACTGACTGTGTGAACTCTTTAACTGTAGCTTCCTGTGGATAAAAAAAAATAGCCCTCCGAGCTGAATTTGGTGTAACGCGGCCATCGATTCAGCTTCCGCAAAGAAAAACCCTGCTAAAAAAGCCCCCGACCTTTTGTTCCTTTTTTGTCTTTTGTCAGGTTTACAAACTGACTTTCTTTTTCACGTTGTTTTTTTTTTTTCAGCCATTTGAGCTTGTTCATGTCCTCAAGTGTAAACAAAAAGGTAGGAAGGAACAATCGTTAATGCCATCCGTGTAGTACAGATTGCTGCAGTGAGGTCTGAGTGGTGAGGTGCAGTGTGAAGCTAACAGAAAGGCTGTTGATTGTGATGAGGAAGTTAGGCTGGCAGGCGCGGTTTTGCCTCGCCACAGTGGGGCTGGAAGCACTCGCTGCCTCCACTGTTTCAGGCTGAAACTAGAGCAAAGGCCTGCTTTTGCACAACCCCTTCACTCTGATCTAGCAGGCTGGCTGGGTTTTCACACTGGTGCATTGCATAACTGTAAATATTTTGTGCATAAGTTATTAGGGACATGGTCTCTGTTTGAATTTTGGCACAGTGCTAGTACAGTTAAGCAAGAAAACCATTTAATATTCTGTTCTGTGCAACTGCACAGTATTTGTTCATACAGCATAATGTTGCTGTCATTTACAAACCTTGTACCTCCATTACTTATGATACACTCTCATTATAATACACTAATATATTACTTGTAAGATACTCTCTTTACATGAATGTGTATTAAAGTCAGTGTGAATTTGAAACTGTGATGCATTTTCCTGCCGTACTGTGAGGCATTTCCAATTTTTGGTTGATTAGAGGGGGTGGTGACGCATGACTTGACTGGTTACTATTATTATTTAGTGTACGGTGACAATCAAAACAAGCAAAACCACTACACTATGATCAAAGACTATGAGAAAACACTTTTAAATGATATGATGAATCATGCTTAAAGGGGAATTCCATTAATTTTCTATCTTTTCTGTTCAAGTAATGGTTGAGATCTAAACAAAGATGTTCAAAATGGTTTGATAAAATATGGTCTATTCTAAGGCTAATTTGCAGAATCAGGGTATCTCACAGTGGTGACAATAGGAATAAGACGTCCAAAGCACCTAATGTCTCTGAAAGCCCAAAACTCAGAAGACATGAAGGTGCACTGGTTGTTTTGGATAGTGAAAAAGCTAATAATTAGATAGACATTGCGAGTTCTGGGTCCTGTCATCAACATTGTGATGTAATCTGAGTTAGTAAGTTTCTGTACGGTGAACCACGAACCATGACTTTGTTTACATCTCAGTGATTACTGACTGGCATGTAGACATTTTGAACACCTGGTTGTATTCCTCTTTAATATACCCAGGAGCATGAACTAACAAGAGAAAAAAGGTCAATTTTGATTTCAGATTGACTTTGAAATTTCCCTATTAAGTTAAATTCTGTGCATATGAGGTTATATTACAGCAATGATAAGCTAGTATTGATCTGATTCCCTGTCATGGTCTTTTAGCTAGAAAATGATCCGAAAATTTGCTTGATCATACGGCACGCCTGCTGAATACAAATGTTTTTTTCTCTTCAAAAAAAAAAGTCACTGTGACCCTTTAACTTCTTTTATATTCCTCCAGTCATTTTGTTCCCTGACTTCTTGTGCCATATGGCCACATGACAGAAGGCTGTACAGGCCACAGCTGGGCCATTGGGAGATCATACCTTTGCTTGCACTTTTCCTCAAAGAGCACTTCACTGCATCCACTGGGGGCCCGTCTGCTCCTCCACCACTATCACAGCATCAGCATCCACCACCTGAGAAAGAAACAGGAGAAGTGGTAAGCCAGTGTTTTCCAGAAGTGACTGTAAAAAAGTATGGGAACAAGAAAAAGAGCTAAATATAGTGTCGGCCCTCTTGTTGCTTGTGCCTGCCATGCAAGAAAGACATAGTTAAGAGCTCGTCTTAGCCAGGTTGCGATCTGTGTTAGCACAGGGCATGAACGTACAGCATTAAATGTCATTTTCCAGACAAATAGAGAAGGTACAAAATAGCTTGGACATGGACATACAGGATAGTATAGCATTCACAGAAAATGAAAGTTATGAGAACTGTATTTATTGTGCACTTCTGAGCAAACTTCTAATAGCAAAGTGAGGTACAGTGTTGAATGAGTGGTGACAAGTGAAAGCTTTTAATTCTTATTTGTGGAGTGCCAGTCAGACAGTGCATTTGCTGTGAAATTGAAAGGCCACTTGGTAACTTCTCAATTAACCAAATTATACTGGACTACAGCCCAGCACAGCTTTGAATAATGGAGTAAGAGAGTCGGTGAGAAGTATGTTGGAGGATTTAAAGTCCATTGGCCCTTCTGTAAGGACATTGGTCAGAAACAGCTGAAAGCCTTTTTCACTGTACTCCTGCAGGTACCAATTCAACAATCGCTCATGCTGTTGTGGGCGGGTGTGACAGTGTGCCGATGTAATTATTGACACTGTGCATCTTGCTCTTGCGTCATGCAGAAGCAAAGGGATGTTCTGAGGAAATCAGTTTCCTAGGAGACCTGTAGACTGTTTGCAATTACTGTAGTCTCTAGTTTCAGCAATAAATTCAACAACAAAAAAGAACCTCCAGAGTTCAGAGAGTTTCTTGAAGATCAAGCAATTCAATATGTATTCTCTGTCTTCAGAACTGGTGACCTTATTGGTATCATTCTCATGGTAGACAGTGTCGGGTCCAAAATAGCTACCAAAAACACAATTGTGCACTTATGTATTTTTGTTTATTGTAACCGTCATATCAAAATCTTATAACTGCATATAGTTTTATTTTTTGTTTACAACCTCAGCTGTTCTGTCTATATCTATATATAGCACAAGAATATTTTTCCATGCTATGTAAACACGTCCAAAGTTCAGTCTTTGAAGTTGGTTGCATTTTCTGCTTTTCACAAACCAAGTAAACCCAAACACACTCAATGATGGTGAGGTCAACATTAGCCTTGTAGCTCCAGCACTAAACTAAAGACACAAAATTTGGACACCAAACGCATCTTGGCTGATCAACTACATTTAGGACGTAAGTGAAAAATTGTATAAATTTGATTTTTTGACAAACCATTCTTTTAACATATCATCATTTCCAAAACAAAACCTTTTATGTCCATTTTTTGTCGCTTTTATTTTTTTTACACAATTAGAAATTACCAACTGCCTCATACAATGTGTTAACATTTTATGATGAATGGACCAATAGAATTACTCCAAGATTTCTTGGAAAGAAACAATTTTTCCTTAGCTTTCATTCAAAGTTATGAAGGTTTTTTCTTCTCCTGTGAATGTACCATTTTGGATATAGTAGGTTTTGTCGGGACACCAACTATATTTTCTTTCTCCTACAAAGTTACCATTTCTGAAATACAAGATTTTGTTTTGAGAGACAATATTCTGTCTTCTAACTGAACACAAGGGAAATTCATAAGTATAAAATGGCTCTTTCTAAGACATTAGACATTTATAAAATTCTGAATTACATTTGTATGAGGGCTTTATTATTCAGCAGTGTTTTAAAGCATGCAACTTCAACTACAAGACAATGAGGTGATTAACCCCTAGTGGGGCAGCGGGGTGTATTTCACAGATGAGTCACAGTTTGATTCATCTCATAAGTGTCTCTGCCACCAGAGTCTATAAATCAGCCATCGCATCCAATAAACACTCACTCACTCACATACACACACACACACACACACACAGTCTCTAAATAAGCAGCAGCAGCAGCCAGTGAGCTCTATACATAATACAGCAGCGTCCAG